TTTTTTTCTGAGTAATCTTTGTACTTTGTCTCTCCTGAAAATTTTTGACCAGAAGGTAAACAAAATTAAATTGTTTCAGAATAAAATATGATTATTCTTTAATTCTAGGAACATTTTACCTGTCCCTTGTTAACCAGCAGATAAACAGAATTAGTACAAAGAGACTAAATATAAATTGTGGATATTATCTTGTTCTTTAAATAATGAATTTTTTTAAACTTCTTTACTTCTTTACAATCCAGTGGGCGAGATCTTTGAATTCAGCGTGTGATCAAAGTGTAACCTTTTCTTACAACCCAACAACATTATCCAAAACACTTGTGAAGTGGACAATTTAGCTCATTTAGAAGGAAACCCGGCCTTAAAAAAAGAGAGATTTATACGAATCAAATCATTCACGCAGTCAGTCTTCTTCAACACAAATAGCTGCAATTCAGCTATGAATCCCACATACTTGTAAAAGTTGTCTGATGTAAAGCAAGTCTAGCATCACTTTCCATTAATTATCGCTTGAGAGAGCCTATGAAAAGCTTTGCTAATTTTATTGCTGGGCTCCCTGAAAGTCATCAATTCGCTAATATTAGTTTTCCGCATTTTTCCTTATGTAGGGTCTTAGTTTTTGTGCTATATCATTTCTTCCGATCTCTTTCAGCATCCTTACAAGACAACGAATAGGATAGCTGGGGTACAAAGTTTGCAGCTGGTTCATCAGCCTCTTGGAGGGGCTTCCACCTTCACTTTTAAACTCATTTTTCAAGGATTTTCGTACTTCCGGGGAAATTAGTTTGTATTTAGCAGCCAAGCGCTCGTAGTCTTGCCGGAAACCTGATTTTCCGTTATCAAGCCGGGTGCAAACCCAATCCAACAAATCCAAGTTGTTTTCTTCCAGCTCCTCCAAGGTTACATCGTCTACAAAGAAATACAAAATTCATCAATCTGATGAAAGCTTTACACAATTGTAATTCAAGATCATGTTCACAAGCTAATGCATGTAACGAGGAGTAGTGTTTGGAACGGGCCAAAGCAAAGAACGAAAAATGATAGAAACAATATTAGATTCGTGAAAAAAAATATATAAATCTAAGTAGTTTATTCAGTCAGTTTTGGTCGATATAGGAGCTCACCGGGCCTGAGTTCCTCTTGTGATGAAGCTGGCTTCACTTCGATTTGCGCCGGTGGAAACTCGACTGAATTCTCCGATTTTCCCCACCTGAGGAAACAAGGCCTGCAGAACCATCCATGACGAGCCATTACCACTGTTAGTGCAAACAGGAATGTAATTCCAAGCGCTACGCCTACTCCGGAAAGAATAAGGAGCACTTCATTTCCACTCCCCTCTTTCGGAGACTTTGTCGATTTGGTGGTGGTTATGGATTGGTCGATCCTAGATCTAGGAAATTCGACTGAGTAAGTGGAAAATGCTGGCGATGTAACCTTTTCTCCTTCCTTGGTTGGAAAGGGTGTCGGTGTACCTCTTTGCAATGACATCTGTGTGGGAGCCCAGGGAATCCACTTGGCAGTTGTGGCCGGGGTATTTGTGCTGCGCACATAACTACAGGGCGACGAACGCATTTTGCACTTCTTCAGATAATTTCCGCTGCACTCTTTTGGAAGCTCATCTTTACCATCATGGCAACAATCCGAGCAAGGCCAACAGGCAAAACTAAACGGAAAAGAATAAAAGCCTTTCTGGCACTCTGTGCTGCACCGAGTGTTCGAGACCAGGGTGCAGTTCTTGACCAGTGCTTTCCCTGTAGAGCATATTGTGCATGCTTTGCACTGCGCTTTGTCATATTTTTCTGAGTATGTTTTACCCAGTTGGCACGAAACGCAATGAATGGGTGTCCCGTATTTCACTGATGTACCACATGGCACAGAAATCTCTGATCCCACGGGACAGTCAGGACAATCTACGCATTTGTATTTTTTCTGAGTTGTGCCATTCCAGTGTATCTGTTCTGATTTGCACGGAAAGTCTCCTCCGACACGGCAGATCTATACGAGACAATGAGAAAAAACATATTTATATGGATAAATCAATTGCAGTTATCGTTTTTAAAGTAGATTCCGAATGACTCAAATCGTATCCATCAGGGAAGAGCTGAAATCGTATTCATATTGTGAAACTGCTGTAATCCAGCTGAATGTAACTGAATGTATTCAAGAAATAATCAACCGATTGTCATAGAATTCTATGAAGCAAACCTGGCGGTATAAGTGAGTTCAGGCCACATTGCACTCATTCGTTTGTTTTGTAGCTTACTCTTTGGGTGAGTTTTTTCATCCCTCTTTTGTCCCTTCAAAATATACTTCGAACGCGACTCGTTCACAAAGTTAAATCACCTCTCCATTCTTTCCTGGGAACGATTGCGTGATTTAAAATTCACTTGTGGGAGCTAAAACGGCGTTCACATCGGGTCAGCAAAACCATCCTGAGATGGCTATCATGTTGCAAAACAATGTGTACATGCCATATCGTGGAGACCTCGATGATGAAACAAAAGGTGAGCATGCTGATTTCATTCATGTTCGTAGCGTCAAGAGCTGGTCGTTGAGAATCAGGTTTGGCACACTTCCCATCCAAAATTACTCACCCATATATGGGGTAATTTAGTTAGCCCTTTGTCAGAGCGATTGACGAAAAGATAACGCTCGAAACCTCAGCTTTTAAACTCTTTACGGTGGCCAATTTACGTTATCGACTCAGTTGATAATACTAAATTACCCCGTCATGCTCTCCCACCGACGCAGCACCACAGTTTCTATAGAAACTTACCCCTTCACCCATATATGACTTGAAAATACGGTATCTTTCATTAAAGATCTATGCTAGGTCGACATGCTTTAATTTTGTATTTTTTGTTAGCTTCATTGGCAACCTAAGTTTAGACGACTCAACAATCGCCGACACTTAACTAAAACAGTCGTGCGCCCAAGTCCAATTTTGTTACATGTTACGATACAAACCTTATGCTATCAGTTTCAACCATAAAAGGATAGGTTTGTGAAGTCGCAGTTAAGCTTAAGTCTCGTGACTACCTTGTGACAGGATATGCATATGACATCAACATTGCTATGAACTGATGTCATCATCAAGGGTGTTTTAAGATTTACTAGTCTTACAAAGAATGATCGCTGATACATATGTTGACTGTATGATTGAGAAATATAAATATTTTTAATTTTGGGTCATAAATGATTTACAGTATATTTCAATTGCGTGGTGTGATGCTGTCTAGTCAGTTTTTACAATAAACGAAAGTGAATGGACTTCCTGAAGATAGATAATCAAGCCAATTACACCTTTTACCTGTGCACTTTCTTCTAACAAAGTGAACTGTAAACCATACAATCTAAATTTCGACGTCATTTTTCTAGTTGGATAAGTCATGATTGAGTTCTAGACAACCACGGACAAATGATTCGGTCGCTGTTTACAGGAATGTCGCGAATCATGAACCTTTGAGGTCGTATATCAAAATTGAGAATAGCGTGAGTCATCACTCTTCTGAAACTAACACGTAAGCACATTTAACTTCACCATTTACCACTTTTCGAAAAAACGAATATCATTTCATTAACGTAACCAAATTAGAGAAAAATAACTATACGAACACTGGAAAGTCAGAACGTGCATTGATCATGCTAAGTTAAAAGGTTTCCCTTACCAGCGTTCCGAAGATGAAAACAATCAAGAACCGTTTTGTCTTCGCATCGTTGTAACCAAACCACGATCTCCTCGACATCGCGTTGAAGAAGCGTGAAACGTGATTTCCTTTCTCCTTTCTCAAACTCAAGCTGACTTCCACCGAGAAAAAAAGGTAAAAATCCTTTCCTGTTTGAACGACTACCACTCTATGATAAAACTACGCGACATAAAAATGACGCACGTTAAAACCACACCAGACGTTCAGCGTTTTCGGAGCATTATTTGGGGATTCCCCTATTTAACAGCTATGTGACCTCAACACTCCAGGTGGTATATTAAGGTACGTTGTTTGAACCGGTTTGACCATATGAATTTCGTGCAAAGCCTCAGGAAGCAATGTGAAGTATGCAAACGATGTAGATATGTGGTTAGTTTTACAGTTTGCAGGAAGCTACTAATTAACCTCTACACGTTATACCGTCTGACATTTTAATAACCTATCGCCATAATTAACTTAAGGATTTCAGTAAATTAGTTTGCTTTAAGCCTTGTCTTAAAAGAACAAAAGATGATTTTCTTTCAATCTGTTTCGGACAGGGAATGGGAGCCTGTGGTTATTTTCAAATGCATCAGTTTCGTCGCTGATGAGCTGGGGACGCCCGGAAAACAATGTTTTATCAGGTTTAACCATAAGGCTCCGGTTTTCGAAAGGTAGATAACGCTACAAATAACTGTCTATCCTGTGAGTAGCGCAGTAAGTGTTGCTGACATTTATCCGCTGCATAGCCACTAAATAGCGTTATCCGCTCGGACCCTGATAGAATTCAAGGGTCACGCAAATGAATCAGCGGACACGAGCAACAAGGACATACGTTGCTTTTACTCGCACAAGCCACTGCTTCAAAGAGGCCTTAGACGTAGCAAAGACAACAGACACCTTAATAGGGCGAAAAAGGAAGTCAGTTTTATTTAAAACACATTGCAAAACATTTTATCAACAAAGAACCGCCCCTGTGTAAATTGTCCCGA